TGGCATTACAGCTCACAGCAACCTCCACCTCCTGGGCTCAAGCGAGTCTCCTGCCTCCACCTCCCAAGTAGCTGGGACCACAGGCACCCGCCACAGTGCCCAGCTATTTTTTGGTTGCAGCCGTCATTGTTGTTTGGGGGGTCCGGGCTGGGGATTCGAACCCGCCACCTTAGGTGTACGTGGCTGGCACCCTAGCCGGTTGAGCTATAGGTGCTGAGCCGAAAAGCATTTTTTTCAAAGCAATAACTTAAAGAATCAAGAATCTTTGCAAACCACTATCCTTCCCTGGTACTGTTTCTGCCTAATACCAACTTGTTCTCAACACAGAACATACTTAGCTAGTATGAATTATATACAAATTAAGTACGCTCTAGGAGTAGGGTCTTGTCCAACCCTTATGTTTTTATACTCTTCGTCCTTTCGCAGTTGATTTCGGCTGCCCTCGTTGCTCACTCACCTTAACCATGAGTGGAAGGTTAGTCATTTTGCAGCAACTTTGGTCCTAAGAAGAAATAAGATCCTTTCTCAGAATGAAACTGCCCTACCCATGTTTTCTTCCCAACCATGTCATGTCTCAGCAGCTTCTTTGGATTTTGCTCAAATTTACCTGAACAAATCTTTCACTAAGAACACCATTTACATTTTGAATTCCTTTAAAAACTATAAATTACATTTATCCATCTACTCCCTCTGTATTATGAAGAAAACACCATTTGGGTGAATGTCTAACCACAGCTTTCTCTGTGGACTTCCCCTGTGGCTTATCAATCAGGAGTGGACACCTGGCTTAAGCCCAGCCAATTACAGAATCTCTCTCAGATGGTGTGGGACTTGAGTGCAGGGATCACGCTGGGCTGGAAGAGCCACTCTTGATCATATGTGCCCTAAATCACCAAAGTCAGACTTCAGAAAGAGGGAATGGCCCAGTCCCAAGAGGGAAGAAAATGACAGACTGCAAGTCACTATGGGAAGTGACTTTGCCCATACTAGAGTCAGTTCAGGTACCTACTAAGGCTGCTACACTTCTAGTACCTGGTTTTAGTAAGATAAACCTGTGTCCTTCATATATGAGTATATTTACAATTTTTTTCTAAATTAGGCTAATTATGTTCCTACTTATGTAGTCATGAAATGAATGGTAACTGACTATAGCATATAAGCAGTAACTTCCAAATTCCTAATCCATACCGAGACAGAAGCCTTAAGAAACTCAGAAGTTTAAAAAATCAAAAGGGTGGCCGGGCACAGTGGCTCAAACCTGTAATCCCAGCACTCTGGGAGGCCAAAGTGGGTGGACAGCCTGAGCTCATGAGCTTGAGACCAACCTGAGCTAGAGAGAGATCGCATCTTTGAAAATAGCTGGGCACTGTGGAGGGCACGTGTAGTTCCCAGCTACTTGGGAGGCTGAGACAAGAGAATCACTTGAGCCCAAGAGTTAGGGGTTGCTAGGGGCTATGACACCAGGGCACTCTACTAGGGGTGACAAAGAGAGACTCTATCTTACCCCCCCCAAAAAATAAAAACAACAACAAAAAACAAAAAGGTCGGGAGAGGAAAACAGTTGGAAAGAGGAAAAGGATACAATGAAAATGATAAGCTTTTTTTAAACAAATAAATATTAGATTCATTTCAAGAGAAATTCAGCACCTTCTATGTGATAAACACTCACTCTACAAGGCAACAGGAAATAAAAGAGATGAGTAATTCCCAGCTCTTACCACAGTGACCATAGTCAAATAAATAACTGTAATTTAGATGTGAAGACCATAACCTGTGAGGTATACACAAGGTACCTGAGTACATGGCCAGGAAACTAGGGTTTCACAGACAGTTCTTAATTGGATGAAAACCCAAAGGTGGGAAAGACTGAGCAAGTGAGTGTGTAAGGGCAGATGCAGTTGGTGGCAGCCAGACACGGTTAAACTTCCACAGCTTATCAAATGTAGCCCCGCTGCCTGTCTGCACCTCAGAACTTTGAAGGAAGGAAGTTTCTTCAGGTCAAAATCCTCTCAATTTGACCTTGCATCATAAAGTACTTAAACCACACTGTTTCAAATAGGATGGTTAAAGAAAAGTAATTTTTTTAAGGATTTATGATCTCCTAGATAACATAAGAATTCATCATATTAATTTAAATGGATAATGATACTCTGAAATTATACTAAAAATATGGGAAATATTGTACATGAAATGCCAAAAGAATAATACAATCTTATTTTTTCTAAAAACCAAAAAGTTGCCTGGGCTGGTGGCTCACCTGAGCTCAGGAGTTTGAGACCAGCCTGAGCAAGAGTGAGACCCTGTCTCTACTACAAGCAGAAAATTAGCTGGGCATCATGGTAGGCGCCTATAGTCCTAGCTACTCAGGAGGAGGCGGCAAAAGGATCTCTTGAGCCTATGAGTTTGAGGTTGCTGTGAGTTATAATGACATCATGGCACTCAACCCCATCAAAAATTACCAATCATATGAAAATACAGTGTTATTATTTTGAGACAGAGTCTCACTTTGTCACCCTTGGTAGGGTGCTGCTGGCATCACAGCTTACAGCAACTTCAAACTCTTAGACTCAAGTGATACTCTTGGCTCAGCCTCCTCAGTAGATGAGAGGTACCCACCACAATACCTGGCTACTTTAGTAGAGATGGGGGTCTTGATCTTGCTTAGACTGGTCTCCAACTTGTAAGCTCAAGCAATCCACTTCCTGCAGCCTCTTAGAGTTCTGCAATTACGGTGTGAGCCACTGACCCTGGCCCAATACAGTGCATTTAAAGCAGGGGGCCAGTTCACTGTCCCTCAGACTGTTGGAGGGCCAGATTGCGGCCCCGGGACAAGTCAGCTGCTAAGCAGGACAGGCAGCGGTGGCAAAAACATGTCCTTGGTGGGCAGCATGTGGGCCGTGGGCCATAGTTTGAGGATGCCTGATTTAAAGTATGTAAACTGCTATCCCACTTCTAGGAATATACACAAAAGAAATAATGGAGACCATGGAAAACCACACATAAAATATTTTAGACAACATAATGAAAAAAATCCAGAGCAGGCTAGATATCAGCACTAACAATCATATTGTGCTGCTGTTGAAACAGTACTGGACAAAATGTAAATAAACCACTAAAAAGAGTAAAGACAATGTAAAAACAGGATGAAATATATAATGCTAAATTGAAGACAAAATTTTGTGTATACCCTAATCAAAGTGTCTTATATACAAGAATATACTTTTTTTTTTTGAGACAGAGCCTCAAGCTGTCCCCCTGGGTAGAGTGCTGTGACATCACAGCTCACAGCAACCTCCAACTCCTGGGCTCAAGCAAGTCTCCTGCCTCTGCCTCCCAAGTAGCTGGGACCACAGGCGCCCGCCACAACGCCCGGCTATTTCTTTTAGTTGTTGTTTGGTGGGCCCGGGCTGGATTCGAACCTGCCACCTTAGGTACATGTGGCTGGTGCCTTAGCCACTTGAGCCACAAGAATATACCTTAGAAAACCCTAAATACATGAAAAAATACCATAAAAGAAAAGTAACAATATTCCTGTTATAGGGGTAAGATGACAAGTAGTCTATTTTCCTAAGTTTTTTTGGTCAAGTTGTTAAATTTGTAAACTAAAGCATCCCCCCTCTTAAATATTAGAAAAAAATGCAAACTTACTTCATCAGAAGCAGATCGAAGACACTGGACAGCAGCCTGTTTTTTCATTTCTTCTAGAGTTAGATCTGAACACTTTTTCTTACTCTTTCCCCATTTCTTACAAGCTCCTTTTTCCCAGCCCAGGAAGATGTCATTCTCCTACAACAAGACCACACCCGGTTAAATGACCTCAGCTAAACAGCAAGTCTCACACTCTACTATGAACATCTACATCTACTCCATCTACTTGAATACACATTTCCCCTGCCACACAATATATTAAGTCACGAAAAGGCCCCTTCCATTTCCCTATGAACTTTGGAATGCACTTGTCAATACCTGCAATAAAGGAAGCTGAGATTGTGCTGAAACCACAGAACACTGTTTTCTGATGGTGAACGTATGTTGTTTTTTTAAAATAGTTTTTAGGGCACAAGGCTTACACTTCTTTGGTGAAATTTATTCCTAAGTATTTTGTCTCTCTGGTGTTATTGTAAATGGAATTGCTTTCTTTGCATTCCTTAGGATTTTCTAAATATTGTATAAGATCAAGTTATACATGACTAGAGTTAGTCTCACTTTTCCTTTCTAATCTGAATGTCTATTTCTTTTTCTTACCTAATTGCCCTGTTAATATTTATAACATTTATTTCATCTTTGAAAATGACTTCACACAAATAGAAACTGGCAAATGCAGACATTAATCCACAGGTATGAGTTTAACTGAACTTGTTATTAGTTGCTTAGAAGGCATTTATAGAATTTCATTAAATTCTTCTCTTGATATTTCTGTTTAGCATTTTAGTACATTAAAGATTAATCTCTGGGTGGTGGCTGTGGCTCAGTGAGTAAGGCGTTGGCCCCATATACCACGGGTGGTAGGTTCAAACCCGGCCCCGGTCAAACTGCAAAAAATAGCTGGGCGTTGCAGCGGGCACCTGTATTCCCAGCTACTTGGGAGGCTGAGGCAAGAGAATCTCCTAAGCCCAAGAGCTGGAGGTTGCTGTGAGCTGTGACACCACAGCATTCTACCGAGGGCAACAAAGTAAGACTCTGTCTCTTAAAAAAAAAAGGTAAAAATTTCAACTGAATGGCTCGGTGCCTGTGGCTCAAGTGGCTAAGGCGCCAGCCATATACACCTAAGGTGACGGGTTCGAATCCAGCCCAGGCCCACCAAACAACAATGGAGGTTGCTGTGAGTTGTGATGCCACAGCACTCTACCCAAGCTCAGTCTCAAAAAAAAAAAATTCTCTTTGTACTCTATCAGGATGTGAAAAATACTGTTGGAACTGTATTTACATGTCAACTGTAAATCTGGGGAATGGAGATTTTACTTCTTGTTTTAATTTTTTTTGTTGTTGTTTTTTGAGATGAGAGTCTAACTATATCTATCATTCAGGCTGGTCTTGAACTTGTGCGCTCAAGTTGATTCTCCTGCCTCAGCCTCCCCAGTAGCTGGGATTATAGGCACAAGCAATCACAAATCTGTCTTAACTTTTTTTTCTTTTTGAGACAAAGCCTTAAGCTGTTGCCCTGCGTAGAGTGTTATGCCATCACAGCTCACAGCAACTCCCAACTCCTAGGCTCAAGCGATTCTCTTGCCTCCACCTCTCAAGTATCTTGGACTACAGGTGCCCGCCACAATGCCCGACTATTTTTTGGTTGCAGCCATCATTGTTGTCTGGCGGGCCGGGGCTGGATTTGAACCTGCCAGCTCAGGTTTACGTGGCTGACGCCTTAGACGCTTGAGCCACAGGGTGCCAAGCCTGTTTTAACGTTTGACAGATGCAAAAAGTATAAAGCAACTCAGTGTTTATGATTCAAACAACATAAGAAATTAGAGTGAGTTTACCACATTATAAATGTTGTATCTAAGTGCTGTTTTGCCAGGTAATTTTAGGTAGTATTCATTAAGAAACCTCAATTTACAGCAAAAGCTACACAAACCATAGTACGTTAGAAACATTTGTTTATATTCTGCTCTTTTCACTTCAGAGCTCCCTAGTTTTATTTTTTTCTAGCTTCACGTACTTTGCTAATGTATCATAACTTAGTTAACCAAATAGCACTTAACTGTTAATCAGACTTAAAAAGAAGGTAGTTCCTCAGGATTGTGAACCTACTAGTGAAAAAAAAAGAGGGAAGAAAAAGAATGTAGTATAAAAAGATCCAAGATATTTCTATTTTACTTATTACCTTTTTGGTCTCCTATGTCGTATTAAGTCTATTTATACATAACATAAAATATTAGACATGTGTTTTGCAGTGCCTGTGGCTCAAAGGAGTAGGGCACCGACCCCATATGCTGGAGGTGGCGGGTTCAAACCCAGCCCTGGCCAAAATAAAAAAAGAAACCTGCATAAAATATTAGATATGTGCCAAATAGTTACTCAAAATTAGTAACTATTTTTACTATAAGAAAAATTAAGGATGATTTTTGGAAGCCTTAATGAGAAAGACGGAATACAAGTATCACATACCAAGAGCAGATACAGCTTTGAAGGTCCCAGCACAAGCATCTATTTATCTAGGCGCTTTTCTAGACACTGCTGTGAGCTAAGCTAAGCCTGGAGATTTGATTGACTTTCCTGTGCTATCTTCTAGCAAAAAAGGAGACTGAGAACTGGAAGGAGAAAAAGAACGTAACAATCTGAACAGCAGTTGGCTCCACCAAGTCACTGCTGGGTGGAGAATCACCCTTGCCTCCCACACCTTCCTGTTTCACAGCATCCTGAACAACCGAAACCACCATTCATCTAAATGGGACTCATGCCACCCCCATCAGGCCTTAATTGGCTTAGGCCCTTGGCCACAAGGATTCGCTTACACAGAGGTGTATAACCAATAAGAAATGAGGACGTCATGTTTTTTGCTGGGAAAGAAGGGGACACTTCCTCAGGACTGTGTGTGAAATTATGATGCCAGAAATATGCCCCCTGCCCTTGTCCTCCACCCGGTAAAGTGCTGGCTGCAAAAGCAAGCTGACAGATGGAGCCAGGCAGAGGGGCAGAGCACGCACAAGCTCTGATTTAAACCAAGCTGGGGCCAGACCTACTTCTAGACTTTTAGTTACATGAGCCTTCTCCCAACCCCAAACCAAATTAGGACAAACATGTGGTTGCTTATGAATGACAGATAAAGCCGAATCTGAGGACTCAACAGTGAACCCACTGGGATCTCACTGTTCAAAAGAACCATTATTTGCCTCTAAAAAGCAAACAAGCATAATTTCAGATTAACCACAGCCCTTTTTTTCCTAGTAGGTCTTATGATGATGATCTACTTTCTTCTTTTTTTTCTTTTGAGACAGAGCCTCAAGCTGTCCCTGTGGGTAGAGTGCTGTGACATCACAGCTCACAGCAATCTCCAACTCCTGGGCTCAAGCGAGTCTTCTGCCTCAGCCTCCCAAGTAGCTGGGACCACAGGCGCCCACCATAATGCCCAGCTATTTTTTGTTGCAGCTGTCATTGTTATTTTGGCGGGCCCGGGCTGGATTTGAACCCGCCACCTTAGGTGTATGTGGCTGGCGCCTTAGCCACTTGAGCCACAGGTGCTGAGCCAATGAGTAGCAATTTTAAGTTTATTTTTCATAAAAGAACCAAAGCTAGTTATTATTCAAGGTAATTCCTAGGAGGCTGCGGTAGGGTGGGGGATTCTTTGGCTCTATTTCATAAACTGCCAAAAAAAAAAAAAAAAATTGTTAGTTGGGGCTGGGAGTTGTACCTCACACCTGTAATCCTAGCACTCTGGGAGGCCAAGGGGAGCAGATTGCCTGAGCTCACAGGCAAGACCAGCCTGAGCGAGAGAGACACCTCCTCTCTAAAAATAGCCAGGCATTGTGGTGGGGGTCTGTAGTCCCAGCTACTTGGGAGGCTGAGGCAAGAGAATCACTTGAGCCCAAGAGTTTGAGGTTACTGTGACCTATTACACCACAGCACTGTACTGAGGGTGACAAAGTAAGACTCTTTTGTCAAAGAAAAAAAAAAAAGAAAAGAAAAAATTATAATGACTGGCAGATATCTAACTATATTTCTTTTAAAATGTAGAATTTATCCCACATAGAATATATGTGATGTGGGTGGCGTCTGTGGCTCAGTGAGTAGGGTGCCAGCCAAACTGCAACCAAAAAAATAGTTGGGCACTGTGGCAGGAGCCTATAGTCCCAGCTACTCGGAACGTTGAAGCAAGAGAATCAACTAAGTCCAAGAGCTGGAGGTTGCTATGAGCTGTGATTCCACAGCGCTCTACTGAGGGTGATAAAGTGAGACTCTGTCTCTTTAAAAAAAAAAAAAAAAAGAGTGGGGCACCTGTGGCTGAGGAAGGCGCTGGCCCCATATACTGAGTTGGTGAGTTGGTGGGTTTGAACCGCCCTAGTCAAACTGCAACCAAAACAAACAAACAAACAACTTTGGTGGGCGGTGCCTGTGGCTCAAAGGAGTAAGGCGCTAGCCCCATATACTAGAGGTGGTGGGTTCAAACCCGA